AGCGCACCCAGTTACCTCCCGGGGACACAGGTGCGCCCGCCGGCAGCTCAACCTACTCCCTAGTGGCCGGTGGGCTAACCTGGGAAACCGCCCTAAAAATGGGTAAGGTTTCGTTGACGCACCGGCCTCAGCTGTGAAGCGCGTTACACATCGTGTGTACAGACACATGGTTTCACTTAACCCTTTGACTACTGGTGGGACACATGTGTCCCACTTGGTAGTCAAAGACACTACCACAGTTTCAGGGAATATTGAGGCAGGAGCGCTCATTTGATGGCTGAATTGTGCACATATAGAAGCTTTCTAATTCTTACTATGACAGTTAATCGTCAGAAGCTAAAGCGAGTCATCCTGCGTAAGTTAATCTTTGACTACTGGTGGTACACATGTGTCCCACTTCCGTAGTCAAAGTCACTACCACAGTTTTGGCACTTATTGAGATCGGAGGGCCCGCTTTATGGCGGAATTGTGCACAACTAGAAACTTGGTAATTCTTACTCTGTCAGCGAAGTATCAGAAGTCTAAGCGAGTTACGCTGGATAAGTTGATAAGCAAGTCGTTCCACAGGTCACTGGGCAGTGTGCACAGCTCCCGAAAAGGTAGTTTTCGAGTCTCACACTCTTTGTGTTGAATGGTTCTAATATTTCCCTCAATTATTGTGAAACAGGTGAAACATAAGCAAACCGATGACGGATGGAGGTTTTATCGGCCGCAAGCCAGTTAGAGGACGACAGCGTTTTACGACTGCGTTGGAAATTCCAACCTCCGGAGTTTTGTCAGTTCGTTTGATGCGGAAGTGGTAGTAGAACACTCCTATGATGACGCAGCTTTCGAGCATAAAAACCAGCGAAAATTCGTTAGAGGAGAAGCAGCCGGTGGGCGCAGCCTGTAGGCAGGGGAGCAGCACTTCTACAAAGTGCGGCTTGCAATTCTTTTCAAGTGCGTTCCCAACCGGACATTGCCTTGTTCCACGAATGAGATGTGATAAATGTGTATTTGTTGAATGGTATTTGAACTGTTCAAAAATGCTCATTCGAGCGGAGATGGTGTGGTGACAGGAGGGGCCACTGCCGCGCATATGGTCTCTGGATCGAATCCCAGCTCAAACCCAGCGCGCGTCAGCCAAATTTCTACAGATGATTAGTTGTTGCTATTAGCGACTGTTACTGCACAAAACACATCGAT